CCTCTCCTGTCGTCGTCGTCCTCCACACGAGAGAGAGAGAGAGAGAGAGAGAGAGAGAGAGGAAAGAAAAGCTAGGTTAGCTTATCTGGGCTTTTCAATACAAACTTCAAGGGTTCGAACCCTGACCTCTTTCACCCCAACTGATCTGACTACAACTAAGCTGAAGCATCAAGGACCAAAAACAGTAATGCACTAAAATGCATAGCCTCATACACCAAAAATCGCCATAAGCAATCCCCTGAAATCCACTTCATGCGTGTATCTAATATCCATGAGTATCTGGGTCAACAATTGATAATCTGGATTGAATCTCGCATAATGTGGCAATGCTGCATGGACCCTCTGATGGCATGGTAGTCGATGTGATGCAATTTTGCTAAGTTGGCCTCCAGCCCATATAATAAATCATTTACAAACAATACATCCTTTGCTTGCTGAGTCAATGAAATAGAGAGGAAAAGGGAAAACATACCAATCACATTTTGTAATGATACATAAAATTAAATTATATCATGTGGTACACTGCAGTGAGATCAGGATTACAGTGTTCTGTGCTCTGTTTCTTAACTAATGCACCGTTGGGATGTTCTGCTAGCAATAAAAAATCCTTATATTTACCTACCATTAAAGTCCATGTAAATAGGCACCCAAGAATATTGCTTTGGGTTCGACGGTATTTTTTTCACTGCTAAAGCTAGCACCGATGCAAGAGGGGGTATACTTCCAAATTTAGGGCAGCTTTATTGCTGCCCAGGAAAACTGGGCTATCTAAATGTGGGCTTGGTGGTTAGGAAAAAAGAGCTCGAGCAAATATAATCCGGCGTTTGAAACCGGATTTACCTAACCCGTTAGAAAAAGGAAACAATATCACTTTTAACCCCCCATTTCAACGTCGGGAATTGTAGACTTGTCTTCTGATGTGTAGCTCTCTTGGGGAGTGATATCTGGAAATTGGGATTGAGCTTTTGTGTCTAGCCCAACAAAAGGGCTCCTCGTTTGTACATTTGCTTCTGTTGTATCCATGGCCGATGCCCTAGGAGGAGAAGGTGGTTGTACCTCGACATCGGGATATGCAGCCTTAAACCTAGCCCTGAGGCCCTCATCAACTAATCGCACCCCATTTAATTGGTTGCCTAGAGACATCCACCTGAAAAAATAGGGATAAGAAAGGATGAGAAATTTTCCATTGCCCCCCCAAAATTTTAAAAAGAAATTGTTTGAAGGCTTGCCAATTTGACTTGGATTTGAAGAACAGGCATGAGTTTTAAATCAAATCTGAAATTTTAACTATCACAGATGGAGTTAAGAGAATTTTAATTAATCACCATAGAAACACTACAAATGACATTATTTTTTATTGGTAATCTGACATTTGAGTCTGTGAGTCTAAGGAAATGTTAGAAGAATGTGTTCCAATTAGAATATGAATGACTACTACGGCACCACAGTTGGCATGCAAAAAAAAGAAGACTTCCCTAGTGTGTGCTGACGCTCTTGCCTACTCCCAAGTTCAAGCAATGCTGCCAACTTTTCTTAATAGCAGAGTCAATAATCAGATAAAAAGAAAACATGCCATGTAGAGAAATATCTGCATACCCTGCATGTGTGTTATGCATCCGGGCAAACAACTCCAACTTTCGTGTCCTTGGGCTTATTCTCTCCAGCATAGGGTACATCTGCAAGGTAAAGTATAGAAAATTATTCCTGGTGCAAAACAGGTGCAAATAGGGAAAGGAGTAAGATAGGAAACATCTGAAAAGATATTCAAATATAGATGTACAATGACGTGGCCATTTTGATGTTTGGAAAACAAACATGTACCATGACGTGTCCATTTTGATGCTTGGAAAATAAAAAGCATCAATATAAAAATTTATTATTTTTTATATCGCCCACTTCTGTCTGCTTAAATTGGTGCATCATAAAATCATGCCATCCACAAAAACAAGTAGCCTTCAACAACAAACCAGCCACTCTTGTAAAAAAATAATTATTTTATCTTCAAATGACCAGTTTGGTGTGTTCAAGAACAGGATAGTAGGTGTATCTGAAACAATATAATACATACACATATGCACGTAGTTGTAAATTACTGCATAAAGTACCTCATCTGGCTTGCGGCTTGTTTCTCGAACTTCAGCAACAATGACATCTGTGTCAATGTTCCTATTCACCTCTGGGTTACCCTTAATTCCAACAAGGCAATGCTCTTTACTGTGATTTAGCCAATGTCCTGTTCGTCCTGTTCTGATGATTCGCTGGAGTTGATTTGTCTTTACCCATATGAGCTCTTCAATACGCTTGTAACCCCAAAGCTCCAGACTGTGCAACAAATGGTGCAAGAAATAAAGCTCACACGAGCTAAGATCTATTAATCATGAAGAATAATGTAAAGGACACGTATAATAAACTGAAAGATTCTTCCAAGTTGAAAAGAGGGGGACAAATGAAAAAATAAATGCTTGTCAGTGTGCAATTCCATAGCAATCTTCCATTGACCAATTGAGTCATAAGTTTGACACAAACTGAATATAGGGTTTTGTATTAGAAAGTATGACGCAGTTGAAAGCCCTAGCTAACGAGATGCTCAGGGAAGTAGTGGTGCCTTAGCTTAAGAACGAGATGATCTGGGAATAGGAAAGCCCCAATGCTCTCCCAAGGTTGGGACCAATGGAAGCGCAGTCCGGCTTGGAAGGTTCGGGTAGCATAGTGGATACAAATCAAAACATAACATGCTTGAATGAGAGGATATACCCCACTTTCCCTATATTAGGAAATTTATGAAGACCCTACGGAATGTTGGATTTTTGCAGCACAGGCTGTACAGCCAAACAACACTTACAAGGATGGGTTTGATAATTTAGTTTCTCCTATTAGCTGAAAATCAATTCTGTAACTCTTATTTGTTATAGATACCTTCCGTTTTTTTGTTTTTTGGGAAGTGGGGGGGAGTGTTAATGGTGGGAATGGAGCCTGGGACATTATGTTGAGGCATAGTGTCTGTACTCAACCAGATGTTCATACAATCACTTGGTATTTATATACCACACAGTACATACCATTCTCGTCCAAGTTCCATTGCACGACCTGTGACCCAAAGGAAAATCAGGCCATCAGTCTGTAATGCCGGAACATTTAAATTACGCATCTCATCATCAGCCATAGTTCCATATGGCAACTCCATGTGAATGTCCCATGGAGGATCTGCCATGATAACTCCAAACTGCCCCAAAATGTCCATCCTGAAGTTACGGATATCACAATTGATCCACTGTGGCTCGCCAAGTTCCACTTCTGAACAATACTCAGCACGTTGAGGCTTAAGAGGCTTTGGAGGAGGAAGGTTAGCAGCTCCCATCATCATAGGAGGGACATCTGGGGTTGGGTCAAGTTCATAATGAACATACTTGCAGGTCTGCACATAGAGACTGATTTGATAATGAAAAACTATCTAACTGAAGATGATAAAGAGTACAAACTGAAGCGAATATACTGAATGTTTTACCTTCATGTGTCGACAAGTGTCCAGAAAAGAGCAGTCCCCTAAATTAATATCAGTATGTGGAGCAATTATGCGGCGAAAATGAACCTGGGAATTCACAGAAACACAGATACCATAAAAAAACACCCTTTTCTCTTAGATAACTCTTAAGAGCAAGCAGAATAATTTCCCTTGGATAACTCTTAAGAGTAAGTAGAATTATTTGTAATTTGATGCTAGATGTTACAAGTGCTGTTTTGTTTTGACAGACTACATGCTCAGTTTATTAATTGTATTGCTAGTGTAAAACAAGTGAAGTACACCAATACTTAAAACTCTCCACTTTACTTGGCACAACATACATCTTTCTTAACGTTTTTGCAATGGCCAACACAAGGGCACACGTAAATACACTTGGTGATGCAACCCAGAATACTGCTCTCGAGTATCTAGACAAGAGAGAGAAATTTAAAGTTTATAAAAGGAACTGCAGTAGGGCAAAATAGTCATTGAATATGTCCTTTGTCTATTTCTTGAGTCATTTAATTCACTAAGGGGCATAAGTTGTAATTTCTAGAATCTTTTATGTCATTTTATTTACTTAAAGTCTTTTATAATAAACAGTCATGATTAGATTAGATGGATGGCCACGGTTAAATCTTGTCTAAGGTTTCTTATATAAGAGATGTACTCAAGCACAATGAAGCATATTGTCATGGACTTCATTCAAAACCCTAGAGCAGCAAGTGCTCAAGTGCAAAATAGTTGGAGCTAAGGTTTAGCAAAGAAGAAGATAGAGAAGATCCAAGATCAGAGAAAGATTAAAAAAACTAGAGATAAAAGAAGGGCACTTGGTGCTCTAGGGTTTGAATAAAGTTCATCACAAGATGCTTCATTACGCTTGAGTACATCTCTTATATAAAAAAACCCTAAACAAGATTTAATCTTGGCCATCCATCTAATCTAACCATGTCCATTTCTTATAAAAGACTTCAAGTGCGTAAAAAGACATAAAAGACTCTGGAAATTATTACTTATGCCCCAAAGTGAATAAAATGACTAAAGAAATAAATAAAAGATGTAAAAAGACATATTCAATAACTATTTTTGCCCTTCTACAGTTCCTCTTGTAAACTTTAAGCTTGTTTCTCTTGTTTAGATACTCGAGAGCAGTATTCTGGGCTACATCAATTTAACCTTAACATCACATGAGCTGCCACTCAACTTGTGGTCTCCACATAGGAGACTGGGCTACATCAATTTAACCTTAACATCACATGAGCTGCCACTCAACTTGTGGTCTCCACATAGGCCACTAAATCACCAATACTTAGCCTTAACCAATACATCAAATGCTGCATCAACATATTTTGGCATTAATAATCTACCAACGCTTAGGTGGCCATATACTAATCATTGGGCATTACTAACGCATGGTGTTCCAAATCGATAATACTTGCCGTATCAACACAGAAGCTTTGAAATTGACAAGTGCAAAATACTGGAGAAAAAAAAAAAGTGCAAAATCATCTCTATTCACAATTGGCTCATGGTAAATGCTGATTTTGATGCAAAGGACATCCCGAAGGCATAACTTTTTACCGAGAAGTATGCCTGATGTAATGCAAAGCTTAAATTGAAGATCTCTTGGTGATAACACAAGACTTATCTCTATCGGTGTTTTGCATTTGGATGTTTTGGGCTTCAAATTTTGGTAGAAAGCGAGCTGGGAAAAGCAGTGAGTCAGTGACGAATTTCACTTGCTTACTTTGTCAAGTTGCTTTCTTTCCATTATTGAGTCTTACAACCCTAAGGTAGGGAACATAGGAAATCTTCCAGAAAAATCAATTTTGATGAAGATTGTGCGCTCTGTAGATTAGAAAGATGAGTCTTTAAAATCCTGGTAAGTTGTTTCTTTCCTTGTTTTGCCAGTTTATTTCCTATGTTTGTTTAAGTGTCTAAAAAATTCTTTCCATGTTATAGAGATCAAATTTCCTAAACTATAAAGGAACTAACCACCCAAGGATCTAGAAGATTAGGAAGTGAGTTCCAAACTAAGTCAAATAAAGAGAGCTTCAAAACCTCTATAAATACCCATGTAGGCCACTTCGATGGCCAAATAACATAAAGTTGAGTAATAAAATTTGGATTTAAATTATGGTAAGAGGCCACCTTTAAAGGAGAAATTTCTCACTCCTTTTGTAGATAGAGTGGTTCCCAAGGATCTAGAAGATTAGGAAGTGAGTTCCAAACTAAGTCAAATAAAGAGGGCTTCAAAACCTCTATAAATGCCCATGTAGGCCACTTCTATGGCCAAGTAACATAAAGTTGAGTAATAAAATTTGGGGTTAAATTATGGTAGTAGGCCACCTTTAATGGAGAAATTTCTCACTCCTTTTGTAGATAGAGTGGTTCTACAATTCTAGCCTAGGTTTGGGGAGGGTTAGAGATCTTCTTCTTCTTTTAGTGGAAAGATTCCCAAAAACACTTGTTAGTGGATTCAAGGTTCTCCCCACATAAGCTAGGGACCTTTCTTCTTGCCCCCTTGTGTGGCACATCCCCGTATAAGATTCTCCACAACCCATTTCATCATTGATTTAGGAGAACTTGAAGAAACATAGAAAAATCTGCAAGAAGCACCTTGACACAAGCAATTTTGGAGAAACCCCAAGGCTTTCTCCCACCTAGGCTGTTTCAAAAAGAGGACCGCCCAGGTGCGCCTGGGCGGCCGCCTAGGCGGATCTGAGCTTGGGCACATCGCCCAAGCCTAGGCGCCCGAAAAAAAAAGCGGAGGTTCCTGGGTATTTGAAATTCCGCAACCTCAGTATTAATACATGAACTTGATGTACTGTATTCCTGATTGTCCTTGTTCATTCATCCATAAAATGTTAATTACCGAAAATAAACACAGCAACCTATCCTAATCAGGAAGAAAGAGAGGTCGGGCATATTCAAATTAAAGAACAGTACGAGGTCAGGACAAAAATAGCATCCAATTTCGATCCACCTTTTCACATGCAATGAAAGAACCAGCTTGACGTCGGCAATCTTCTTTTGTAAGTGCTGAGCAATACTCCTTGAGTTGAGGACCACCCTTTGTCTTAAACTGCATCACATTATAGAAACTCCATCAATTGCGAACAAAGAGAAGTTCTCCAATTAAGTATAATTACAAAATCACATGAGCATGAAAAGAAATTGATATTAATACTAGAAAATATACAGTAAAGTTGATTAGAGGGCTTCAAATTAGGAACATATAAATGCTAAAAAACATGATGACCATAACTTAGTCACATTAATTTCCATTATCACTCAAAGGCATGATTTTTTTGATTTATCATTTGGGTAGTTATTCTTAGTTCATCCTGCGAGGCTCTGTGATGCTGATGAATTTTCAATATTTTTTTTATCAGATTCCAGATATCGATTCATCACTCTGAATTTATTACCAAAAAGTATAGACTTCGATTATTTTCTGCCTATATGTTCAACCTTCATGTAGATTTCGTTACAAATTTTTTGAAGAAAGTTCAGATTCAGAAATTTGAAACATGTATACTGAGTTTTATAAGAAGTTCACAAAACATGTATGTGCTTACATGAGGAGAGGCAGGTTCTACTGATTAGAATATGGAGTAATTTTCTAACACCATCAAGCAGTACAGGAAGATTACCAATCAGAAGGAAAAAATCAAACGGCATTGATAGAAAGGAACCAAGATGAACTCACTAATTAAAGAGAAATCAAGACAGAAAACTCAAATCAATTTCTAAGATTGTTACAATCAAGATTCAAATTTTTTTCTTTTGGTTGGGGGGGGGAGAGAGAGAGAGAGAGAGAGAGAGAGAGAGAGAGAGAGAGAGAGAGAGAGAGAGAGAGAGAGAGAGAGAGAGAGAGAGAGAGAGAGAGAGAGAGAGAGAGAGAGAGAGAGAGAGAGAGAGAGAGAGTAGTAGTAGTGACGACGAGAGTACGTAGTAGTACGTACGTACGGTAGTCGTACCGTAGTACGTACGTA